ACCCTTAAGTTCCTGCTGTAACCTTCAGTACCTGGACTACAATTCCCAGTATGCACTGCTAGTTTCCATCTCCCAGACTGTCCACCAGTCAGCTGGGCCTGCAGTCCCAGAACACACCTTTAGCACCACCACCACCTCTTCCAAGTCAAATTCATTATCTCCCATGACCCCCAGCACTGATCTCATGCACAGCTCTGCTCTTAGACACAGCTCTGGACAAGCCTCAACTGTGTATCGTTTTACTTGTTGGCCTTCCCTGGCCTACAACGCAGAGCCCTACCTGCTCCCCAAACAACAGCAGCAGTCTGCACTTGCTACCCACGGCCTCCAGAGCCCCAGGGCTCAGAGCTTCAATCCCTGCACTGTGGGTTTTTAACTGCATTGTGTCTCTAGCCTGTCCTCACATTTCAGAGTTCACGTCAACGTATTTTTGAGCATCTACTGTATGCCAAGCACAGTTTTAGGACTTGTTTCCTGATTTTTAAGGATCTGGGTGATCCAGTACTTGGTGGGGAAGGGGGAGTTCTGAAGATGGAGGTCTAGTCTCAGGGCACACACGTTCTAATAGGTGGGAAACACAGGTGCTATCCCCAGTGGGCCCCAGTCTGAGGGGGTGAAAAGATCCACAGCTGAGGGGTGAGCAGGAAAAAGATACCTCCTTCCTCTAGGAAAGGTTGGTAATAAGCCAACAAGAGACGCTCTGAGGGGTGGGGCTCCCTGGGAGGATGCTAAACCGGCAGTCCCTCACCCCTCCCCGCAGACGTTTCTATGACTCGGGAGCCATCATGCTGCGGGAGGAAGCCACGGTCCTCACCGGGATGCTGATCGGACTGAGCGCCATAGACTTCAGGTGGGGCCTGGGTGGCCGTGGCCATGGTGGGGGGTTGAGGTTGTTTCTCTGCGAAGGTCCGCACTCCCATCCCCTCATACCTGCCCCCAACCCTGTGGCTGCTCTGCCCCCAGCTTCTGCCTAAAGGGCGAAGTGCTGGACGGGAAGACCCCCGTAGTCATCGATTACACGCCCTACCTAAAGTTCACCCAGAGGTGAGCAGCCCGATTGCGGCGGGGGTTGCTGGGTGCGGACAGACAACGGCCCTGAGGGGCGGGGATTGCGGGAGACGGGCAGGCTGGGCGGCATCCTGGTCCCCCTGCCCAAGGGGGTGCCCACTGCGCCCTCCTTCCAAGCTACGACTACCTGACCGACGAGGAGGAGCGGCACAGCGCCGAGAGCAGCACGAGCGAGGACAACTCGCCCGAGCACCCGTACCTTCCTCTCGTCACCGACGAGGACAGCTGGTACAGCAAGTGGCACAAGATGGAACAGAAGTTTCGCATTGTCTACGCGCAGAAGGTGCGCGGTGCGCGGCGGGGGCGGGGCGGGGGGGTGCTTAGAGCCCGGCAGAAGGCGGGCGGCCGCTGGGACCCCCTCCTCTCGCCGCCGGGGCTGAGCCGGCGCCCCCGCAGGGCTACCTGGAAGAGCTGGTGCGTCTGCGCGAGTCGCAGCTGAAGGACCTGGAGGCGGAGAACCGGCGGCTGCAGCTGCAGCTGGAGGAGGCGGCGGCGCAGAACCAGCGGGAGAAGCGGGAGCTGGAAGGCGTGATCCTGGAGCTGCAGGAGCAGCTGTGAGTGACGCCGCGGCCCTGACCCCGGTCCTCGGCCACCCCGACCACATCACCCCAGGGAACCCCCGCCATCGCCCCCACTGAGTCTAACGCCACCTTTCCTTATACCAAGCACCAGCATCAACCCCCCGAGTCCGTCACTGCCACCCGGAGATCCAGCCCCCTCCCCGCCACCGCGACCTAACATCATGCTCGACATAAGGCCCCCCACCAACCGACTCCCCACTTCACCCTCAACTACCCGACATAAGCTAGAATGGCCATTGAACAGTACTCCTGGGACCCCAATATTACAATTAAGGACCTCTAATTAATGTGACTCAACGACCTTCAACATGACTGCATTATTCCCTCTGTTCACCACTCCTCTGATCTGCAGCGTAGGTCCACTAACCATCGTCACCCACCGTGACCCCTGACCTCACCCCTACCCATCCCTCTAACCGTTCCCCTTGAAACGTTTTCATCACTGTGACCTCCCAGCATGATTGTGGCACCCCACCCTGACTGACCCCTGCAACATCTCATTATTCCCCTAACCCCCAGCACGAGTGCACTCATTCCTGTCACCGCCGTGGCCCCCCCAGTACCCTTCACTGACTCCCAGGATCTGCCCCACTGATCCTCAGCATTCATACCCATTTCTGCTACCCAGGTTTCAGTCCTAACCCCTCCCCTCACCTCTTGCTGAGCCCCTCTTCCCCACTTCTGCTCCCTCTTCCAGCCAGGCCTGACCCCCCCTCCCCATCCCAGGACAGGTCTGATCCCCGGTGACCATGCTCCCCTGGCCCAGGGTTCCAAGGACGTCACCACACGCCTGGTCAACCAATGGCCGTCACTGGGAACACTCAATGGGGCCGAGGGCGCCAACAACCCTAAGCTCTACCGGAGGTAAGCCCCAGGCAGGCTTGCCTTGGCCTTAGTGCCACTCCCTCCTCTACCAGGGAAGAGGGGCACTGGGGCCGTGGGCCTCTGCCCGCACACCAGCTCTCTGCTTTGCTACAGACACAGTTTCATGAGCACGGAGCCGCTGTCGGCTGAAGCCAGTCTGAGCTCGGACTCCCAGCGCCTGGGAGAGGGCAAGCGGGACGAGGAGCCCTGGGGCCCCATTGGTGAGCCCCCCAATCCAGCACCCATCCCGGAAGGGCTGAGGCCAGGCCTTGGGGCTTGTAGTCAGGCCCTGGCCACTTCCCTCATTCATTCAACTCTTCCCAAGAACCTAGCACAGCAACTGAGAGCTTGGTTTGGGGCGTCAGGCAAATCCCAGCTGCGCCTCCTCTGTGCGAGCTTGGTCACTGATTCCACCTTGCTGAGCCCTTCTCATCTGTAAAACAGGGATGTTGTTTAAAATGATCACCAGTGTTGGCATATGGTGAGGGCTCCATGGCTTTTGGCATCATGACGTCCTCAAGAGCCCCGCAAATCCTCAGGGAGTTCTTCGCCTAACTAATTTGCTCTTAACTCATGCACTCTGTGAACCAGTCGCCTGATCGTTGTTTCCCCCTTTTCTTTGGCTGCCAGGAAGCTCAGAGCCAAATTAGTGGCTCCCTTCAAGAGAATGTCCAGGACTTCAACGCATGCATTTTGTGTTGCCCTCCCCCCTCTGGCTTCACCTTGGTTTCCCACCCTAGTTTTCCCGGTGCCTGGACTACCTGTCTTTTCTTTCTAAAAACCACACTGTACTGGATGACCCTAGATCTTCTTTGACACAAGGCAGGCTATGGACGTGGAACCCCGCCACACTGTGTTTGTGATTGTCCGTGTGTCTGTCTCCCCACCAGACTGTGAGCTCCGTGAGGGCAGGGACTGTCTCGTCCGTTCTCTGTATCCCCCGTGCTTGGAACGGAACAAGTGCTCACCGTGTGTTTAATAAATGGACAAAGAGAGAGGATGAACCCTCGGGGGGAGACAGAGACATAAACTGACGATTACAATACAGTGTCCCAAGCTCTGTGCATGGAAACGGGCAGGTGCTTACCAGGGTTTAACTGAAAAAGGCAAGCGCTCCAGAAATGAGGAAGGTCTCCGGATGGGTGACCTGAGGGCTGTCCCTTCACCGCCTGCACCTGTGCACACCCAACTCACACACGCAACTCGCACACACAGACCAGTTGGCCCCGCCTCACCCGCCCTCTCTCCCCAGGGAAGGACCCCACGCCCTCCATGCTGGGCCTCTGCGGCTCCCTGGCTTCCATCCCCAGCTGCAAGTCCCTGGCGAGCTTCAAATCCAACGAGTGCCTGGTGAGCGACAGTCCCGAGGGCAGCCCGGCACTGAGCCCCAGCTGAGGAGCGGCATGGGTGGTGCCGGAACCCCCTGCCACCTTTCCTCACAGTCCCCCAATCCAGGCCACCCTCCAGAGAATGCTACCCACTCAGCCAGGCGTCTTGGGAGACACCCTTTGCTTCTAGCCCGGTTCAGCTTCTTGCCCGTGGAGGCAGGAGCTGCCAAGGGAGGCAGCTTGGGCCAAGAGGCAGGGGCACCGGGGCCACAGGGAGCCCTCAGGAAGCTTATTCTTCTGGCGACCCTGCTGCCTGGCTAGCTCCCTACCGGACTCTCCTTCGCTCATCTCCCCGCCCTTCTCAGGAGCTGGTGGCCCAGCCTGGCACTGCCGCCTCCCTTGCCTCTCCTGTCTGTCCCTGTGTATGCCCCCGAGTCATTCCTTCCTCAGCCCCCAGGTTGGGGGGGCGGGGCGGGGGGCAGCTATGAGGGTAGCAGGCAAATAAAAACCAGAGGACTGCGAGCAGCCTTGTCTGTGGGGGGACTGGGACAGGGCCCTGTTCTGAGGTTGGCAGGATGCAGCGGGGCTAGTGCTGGGCCCGTAACCAAGGTGATGCTAGACCAGATAAGATCAGGTGTGCCCCCTGGGAGCAGACTGGTCAGAATAATTCAAGAAGTGGGGGGCTTCTGTATCAAGTGTCCTAAATATTCGGTCAGCCCAGGGAAGGACAAAAACATGTAAGGACCCTTCAACTGATACTCTTTGGTAACTCATTTACCCCAGGCAGAGAAGATGCTGGACATCCTGGGTGGCAGGATGGAGAAGGCAAGGCCTGGCAGGACCCCGTTTCCCTTCCATCATCCTGAGCAATACAGCTTCGGCCTAGAGATCCAGACCCTTCCATTAGGCCAAAGCCTGGCAGTGAAGCCACCCTCCCTCCTGGGTTGTCGCTTAAGTGTACCCTTGGAGAGAGGTCTCACCACCCTCTCAACTCAGGGTCCTTATCCCCACCTGCTCTCACTACACTGGGGGAGGGGTCCTCTACATGGGTGCCACCTGGGCAGCCAAGGCCAACATCAAGGTCCCTTCCAGCCCTCTTCTGTGCAAATCGCTCACCAAATCCTGCTTCCCACCCGCCCCAGAGACCCCCACGATCAGAGGCAGTGGAAAGAAGTTTATCATCTTTAGACGCAAGGAATTAACAAGGGTGGGTGCAAACTATGCCGGGCGCAAGGTTTCGCGGCTCCTGGAGGCAGGCCCAGCTACAGCAAACCCACAGGGAAAAGAAGGGGGGGGGAGAAGTTAGCAAATTTGGTCTTGAACTTGAGGGGAGGGCGTGATGATTCCTGGGGCTGGGGAATGGGGAACAGCAGGAAGAAGGTGGTCTGAGAGAGGAGGGGTCGGCGTGGGCCCAGAGGGGCAGCCGCCTACCCCTGGGGCTCAGAGTGGGGAGGAAAGAGAAATGAGGCCCCTCCCCGCAGTGCTGAGGAAAAGGCACTTGGCTCAGTCTCCTCCTGCCCCACTCCCACCACGGAAGAGGTCGAGTCCTTGTCCCCTCGTTCCTTTCAAGGGCCCAGAAACTGTTCCTGGTTGAGCCTCTGGAAGAAGCTTTTACCGAACTCATAAGTGCTAATCATGATGGCACAGGACGGGGCGGCCTTGATGATCCTCGGGAGGAAGCCTGCGGTGGGAGGGGGAGGCTGGGGTCAGAGGTTGGGTCCCCGGGAGCCCCACCTCCACCAGGGAGTGGACACACACACAGCCGGTCACCTGCGAAGAGGCCCCTGGTGCCCGACTCGGCCCGGATTCTCCGCAGCAGCAGCCAAGTGGAGTCCGCGTGCGGGGGTGTCACTGCAAACCAAGGCGAGGCCCTGTAGGACCCCGCTGGGACCCGCCTGCCCTGCCCCGCACCAGCCAGGGCCCCTCACCTCTCACAGCCTCCACCGCTCCTAGCGCGACCTGGCGCTGAGTCTTCACCACATCGAAGGGTAGAGTCAGGATGGCCGCCACCTGGTGGGGTGGGGAGAGGGCTGGTCTCCGTTCCCAGGACCCCCATCCCCTGCATGCGGCCAGGGTCTGCCAGCCCCAGCTAGAGCTTCAGAAGGGCAGGGGAGCGCACTCCTTGACAGGCAAGCAAGGACTCTTTTCCGGAGCATCTGCAACGGCCCTCAGGTCACCCCAAGGACACCTCTACTGGCCACACTCCCAGCCTGGTCAACTCACCGTCCCTGAGATGCCACCAGCCACAAAGCTGATGCCCACGGAGGTCTGGTCCTTCGGCCTGAGCCCATGCAGCCAGCTCTTCACCAACTCATAGTTGAACCAATACAGAGCTTGGGGACACAGGGGTTCATGCGTTAGAGATGGGAAGGGCAGTGGGACAGGCCACGAACCTCCCACCTTTCACAGACCTATATCACAACCACTCCCTCCCAGCTACGAAGACTGCCTGCCACGTGCCAGTTCCCGTAACAGGCCCTCTGCAAGAAGTATCTTGTGAAAACCTTGCTGAATATCCCGCCCGCTGGGGCCACTTCACAGATGAGACGTTCTTGGCTCCGAGAATTTACGTGACTTCAAGGTCAGTAGTAGCAAAGCTGGGACTTGGCTGTAGACCTCTTGGGCTCCCTTACCCCAATCCCTGCACTCCTGGTGCCTACCTGAGAAGGGCACATCCCGAAGGGCAGTGGGACCCCAGCCCAGCCACAGTGAGCGCCAGCCACCTTGAGCCACAGCTGCTCGGACGCAGGTGCCCAGCTCCCGGTATGACAAATGCTGAGCCTGCAGCTTTGTCCGCACAAGCTCCAGGGGACTGATCACAGTCACAGTGCCCACTGCGGGGACCAGTGAGGAGGGGTCAGTTTACAGGTCCCAGGGGCAGCCTGCCCAGAGTCTGGGGGCCTTGAACGTCCCCCCACCCCCACCCCTAGGCTGGCAGAGGTTGGAGCTGGGAGTCCAGACTGGGCTCCGGCACAGGTGGGCTCAAAGGAAGGTGGAAAGCCCAGGGCTGTGCTCACAGCGGGCCAGTGCGCCAGCCACCATGGGTGCGTAGAGATCAGAGGTCAGGGCTCGACCACACAGGAAGGCCTTGAGTTGGTCGTAGGCGGTGAAGTAGATGGCAGTGGCTGGCACAGTCATCACCCTAGGGGTGTGAACAGGTTAGCCAAGACTCCCCAAAGTTCCCAAACCTCCCAAGCTTCTCCTGCCCCACCCAGCCAGCCAACAGGGGAGTAAGGCGTCAGTGGGGTATCAGGGGAAAGCAATACGCAGAACTGGGGTACTCACAGGGTGGCTGGGAGGCCGCTCCACAGGGTCCTCGTGCCCTCATGTCTCACAATCTTCACAAAGGCATCCTGGCCAAGCAGACACCAGCCCAGGAGGAGGGAGGATGAACATGAACAAGGCTTGTGGTGGGGCTGGCCCAGGCTGGGCCCTAGCCTGATGCCCTCGCTCCTACCCAGTAGCCCCTCAGGCCTCTACACATGGAATTCCCTATTTGGCTCCAAACAGACTCCTATTCACCCTTCAAAATCTTGTGATGGCCCCACCTCCTCAGGAAAACCCTTCCCAAACTGAACTGGCCACCCCTATGTGCTTTGCACTACCCGTTCTTTCCTGGGTCTGCTGCCTGACCAATCTGAATCCCTCAGGAATGCCAACAGACCCAGCTAAGGGTACAGCTGCTCCTCACCACGGTGCCAGTGAAGCGACTGGGGTCCTGAAACCAGGTGGCACAGCGGGCACCATTTGGGCACAGGTACAGGGGCTCTAGGACACCATTGCAGTACAGGAGGCATTTCCCTGTGGATTGGAGAGAGGAGGGCACTGGGGAAGGGGAGGCGCGTTAGCATGACAGAGCCCTGGAACCTCACAGGGAGGTGGTGAGCTCCCATACCTGGAGGGCCAGCAGAGCCTGGGGTCCCTGGGTGGACGTTCTTGTGTAGGACAGATAGCTAGCTAATATGATCTAGAAACGTGTACTAGTCCGTGGCTGTGAGGCCCCCGTGTGCCCTGGGGAGACTGGGACATCCCTCCCCAGGACACTTACAGGTTCCCCGTGGCGTGGGGCACTCACATTTGGCGTAGGAGAGGCTCCAGGGTCTGGAGGAAGACATCAGCTCTAAAACACAAGGCACTACCTCAAGTCACAAATGTTCCCCACCTGCCCCAGGGACCTCATCTCTGGGGACCCCTGACACCACTCTCTATTGGCTTCAGGGTCAGACACTCACCACTGGCCACCGAGGGGCGCTGAGACTGCAAGCGTACCTTCACCACGTCCAGGGGGGTCACTGGGGGAGGAGGGCAGGTCTGAAAGCTCCTTTTAGGACCCTGCCCCGAACCCCTCTTCCAGAGCCAAGTCATTTCTAATCTCTGGTCTGCCCCAGTCCCAAGCTGCCCCCACCCCACCATCCCAGGTCTTACTGAAGAGAGAGGTGACCACGGCCCCAGTGCCGGATGCCACCATTTGCTGGAGGGGACTAATGCCCCCAGGGTCCTGGTCAGCCATCTTGTAGCTTCAGTTCTGAAAAACAAACGTCAGTCAATTGGAGCACAAAACCGGAGTCAGGGGGAGGGAGAGAAAGGAGGCAGAGGCTCTTGGGGACACTAGCTGGACCCTCACCCCACTCACTCACCATGAGTTTCGCATAACCACTTTTTATAGCAGTTACTGTCAACTCCACCTTGCCAAAGGGGAAAGAGGCTCAGAGATGAGGTGACCTGCCCAAGGTCACCGTGAGAGTAGTTAAGAAGGAATCTGGGAGAGTCATCCATCAGTTAACGAACGGTAATGACCCACCACCATTCCTCACCCTCGCCATACTGGCTTACTGTGCACCTCTTCAGTGCACGTGCCCGGGTTGGCCTGGGGGACCCAAAGATCAAAACGCCTGAGCCGCCCCCCTACGCCCCCCACTCCAGCACCCAGCCCCAAGGCGGGCGCATGCGAGCCTCGAGTCACCGGACGTGGAGAGGTAGAGCCCGGCAGGGAGGGAAAGGTAACAAACCTGAGGGCGGCGAAGGGTCCGTCCACTCTCTGGGACTGCAGGCGGGGGTGCCCGGCCCTCCCCCGCGCCCGTCCTCCCGAGGCCGGAGGGCCAAGCCCCAAGCCTGGATGGGAAGGATAATCGCTCTGCTCCCTCTCCCTCAAAATCTCTTTCTCGGGGGAGCCGGTCGAGAGTGCGGGAAGTAAGGATGGGGAGACAAGGTCGCTCTTCGCCCCTCGGCGACACTCTGTCCTGGCCCCGCGCGCAAGGGGCGCCCGGTGGGGCCGACTAGGTCGGCCCGCGACTCCCGGCCCCCATCCAGACCCGGCTCAGGCTCCCGGGACCCCCAGAGACCCGACTCCCGCCTCCGCCCCCCGCCGGACCCTCAGCCCAGGTCCAGCCCCACCCACCTGGCTCTAGGCCGGTGCTTGCGCGGCGCGGCGCCCGGGGCCGAGCGGGCCCATAGCGGCTCCGCGGCCAGGACCAGCCCCGCGCCCGCTCGCTAAGCACCAAGGCCGACTCGGAAACTGGACGAGCCCGTCCCGCCCCTGGACGGCGCCGCGAGGCCCCGCCCCCCACGGGCCGACCGGCCGCCTGCCCGGAGTGTGGCCGGCCCGCCCACTCGCGGCCTCCTCTGGGTCCCGCGCTAACGCGGCCCCGCGCCGCGGGTGCCCCGCCGGGCCCGCGCGCCAAGGTCGCGAGTCTCCACGCCGCGCTTGACCTGGCGGCAGCACCGTACTTGACAGCGTATTTTCGCCAACACCACCCCACCAGCATCCCGGCCGAGCGCTGCTCCCGCAAACTTTCTAGACGAACGTGGGTAAAGCACTCTCCCCATTTCCCTCATTTGTTTGGTGGCGGGGGTTTGAATCAGTTCTTCCAAGGCCATGGGGGGCGATGAAATAGTGCTGGCAAACATTAACCCATCGGGCTCGTTGCTGAGGTTTTACAACTTTACGGCGACCGTATCAAACAGGGTCGTCCCTATTTAACAATCCATCGAGACTGCAACTGCAAAACCACTTGACAAAACTGAGGGGTACCCTGCGGGTGTGGGTAGTGAAGTTGACGAATAAGTAACCCGGGCCAGGCAGGCTGGACAGAGAGGAAAGGCTGGCCCGGGAGCCGGGAGACGTGGGTTCAACCGGGTTTAACTTGGGCTTCGTCCCACCTCCCTGTGACCCTGGGCAAGTTACAACACCGCTCTGGGTCTCGGATTCTTCCTTCGCACAGGAATAGGACTGAGTAGGGGAGAAGGAGACCGACATTTCTGTGTTGGTTACTCTTACGAAACCTGTTTCTTCTACGTCTCAGAACTTATAGTAGATCATTATTTTTTTTTTTTTTAGTAGATCATTATTAACCCCGTTTTACAGACGACGAAACGGAGGCTTAAAGTTAAGAACTGGACAAGTACCTCCCCCGCACCACATTGCCTCCCCGAGTGACAGGTGGGCGTTAATCCTGGACGTCTCTGATCCCGCTTCTCAGGAGCCGCATTTCTGTCCCGGGCCAGCCCCGCACCCGAGACCCCATCAGCTGCCTCGCTTTTAAAACTTTCGTGCGGCGAAGAGTGTCCTAAGAGAAAAAGGAACACCGGCTGCGAGCCTGCGCCTTTAAGAAGGGTAGGCTGTGATTTTGACGTCACCAGCTCTTCCGCCCCTCACCCCGAGAATGGTCGCGTCCGGGCCTGGAGTCGCCCGCCAGCCGGTGCACGCCGGGTTAGCACGTGGGTTCCAAGGGGCCAACCGTGTGCTTTCCCTGAGAAAAGACTTTGCGGCTCTCCACCGCTAGGAAGCCCGAAATGGGGGGCGGGGAGTGACCCGTGAAGTGCTGCTGATCAAAAGGGCCCTGAGAGAAGGCGCCCTTTACATGCCCTTCCCATACCAACTGAATTCTGAAATGACACAAAATAATTTTATAAACTGACAGGGTGAGAACCCAGCCCCTATTAGGTTTTATGTAAGTTATGACTTACACAGTTTCACAGCCATCAGCCAAGAGATAACTCCCCCCCATTTTACAGAGGAGGAAACTGAGGTCCTTGTGTGTGATGACTCCTGGTGTGGAGTAGAATCCAGACTTCTCCTACGCACTCTCCCATTTTTCATATGAGAAAATGGGGACCCCAGAGGTCAAGTTGCACCAAGATCACACAAATGAAAGAGCTAGAATTCAAACCCCCTCCTACCTGAGTCCAGAGGATCTCCCATCCCATCCCATTCTCAACCAGGGCTCTCTGCTCCCTGCAAATGTTTACTCAGGCCTCAGGCCCCAAAGAACTCTAAGATACAGCGTGGTGGGGCTGCACTACTTACCTGCCTCCAGATCAGAGCACTGGGAGGGCGGGACCTGGTTCCAATCTGGGCTGCCTGCTGCAGCAGCTGTGGGACCTCTAGCAAGTATCTAGAGTCCTTTAAGCCTTCGTTTCACCCATTTATAAATGAGCTGATGGGGATCAAAATACCCCTGCCTCATGGGAATTTGAGGATGTAATGAGTTAATAGCTCTAAAGTGCTTAGAGCCCTGTCTGGCACTTGGCAAGCAGCTGGTGACCACTACTATTATTACTGATTGCCCCCCAGCCCCACTCCAGGACCTGTGGCACAGAAAGTTCTGGAAAGGGTCTTTAGAGCAACCAGGATTCTGGTCCCACCTCTGCCTCTAAATGCAGGCACAGGTAATGATAACTCCTTACACACCTTCTTCCCCAGAGCAAAGTAGCACAGCCAGGAATCAAACATGGTGACCTCTGAGCCTCAGTTTCCTTCACAGTAGAATGAGGGGCTTGCACTCCATTTCTGGTTTTCTTCTTGCAATAGGATGCCTTTGAGATTCGTCACTACACCTCAGTTTCCTCAACTGAAAATAAGGATGAGTTACCCATCCTGCTAATTTACAGACTCTTAGCTAAAGTCATGTCTGTGAAAAGCTGAGTCGACAAACAGTTCTGTAGTCCCACCCAGAGCTGAGTAGATCTCACTCCCTGCCATCCCCTACATGTAAATGCTTGGAGGCTGAGAAAACCTTGGTATAACCAAATGCCAGCATGCTGGCAACCATCTGGGCAGAAGGGAGAAGTTATCCACCACTGGAGCTGGTGGAGGTGTCGTCCAAGGACGATCATAGCGACTGCAGGGTGGATCCAGAGCCTTGAGATGCCCATGAACCTGTGGGGCTCCGGCTAGACTGGCCTGACCTGAGAAGCAAGCCTAGAGGCCTGATGAGGAGGCGGCCACTGTCCTGGCTGTCTCAGCCGCGATTCACGCTGACCACACACCCAGTGGTCCTACTAGAGGCAGCATGTGGCTCCATGTGGCCATCACCGGCCTCCTTGTCAGACGGAAAAACAGAAACTCCTTTCAACTGTAAAAGGGGAGAAAATAGTACCAGCCCCAGGGATTATCTCAGGGACTGATGGACAAGTCCTTGCCTGGCAAGTGAGGTGAACAGAAGATGGTTTATTGTAAGGCTGAATTCTTCCAGGGCAAGCCCCAGCTTGCACCCCCAGGGCCTAGGAAGACATTTATGGGGCTGAAGTAGGGCTCAGGTCCCTCCCGTGGACGCTACCAGCACCTCTGAGTTCAGGGCCTGAACCGTTCCCCCCTAGAGGTGCCTTCCTGTAGGCAAGGCCCCAGGCTGCAGGACCACTGAACAGGAGAAGAGAAATCCAAACTCTAGGCCTCACGTTAAATGCCAAGTCAGATCTTTGATTGGGCCCTGGGGGCAGGGAGGGGTGGGGAAGTTATAGAGGACTGTATTGTGACAACTGGAGAAAACTGAATAAAGCCTGTATCGTTGATATTACTTTATCAACGTTAAATTTCTTGAGTGTGGTAACCATACAGTGGTTTTGTAGGAGAATGTCCTTGTTCTTAGGAAATGCACACTGAGTGTTTAGTGGCACGTGTCTGCAACTGTCTCAAATGGTTCAGCAAAAATAAAAAGATAAAGCCAACGTAGCAAAACGTGAACAACTGTAGATCAAAGTGAAGGGTACATGGTGCTCATTGTACCATTCTTGCAATTTTTCTGAAGTTTTAAAAGGTTTAAAAATAAAAAGTTGGGGGGGAAGGGGATTTCTCCCTCTGAAATACATATATATTATGTATAGAATCAGAAAGCAACAAAGCTGGGGATTCCCTGGTGGTCCAGTGGTTAGGAATCGGGGCTTTCACTTCGGTGGCCTGGATTCAATCCCTGGTCGGGGAACTAAGATCCCGCAAACCATGAACGAGAAAACAAAACAAAAACAAAAAACACAACAACAAAGCTATCTTTTTTTTTTTTTAAGTATGTATTTATTTAGGCTGCACGCGGTCTTAGTTGCAGCAGGCACGCCTGCATGCGGGATCTAGTTCCCCGACCAAGGATCGAACCTGGGCTCCCTGCATTGGGAGCACGGAGTCTTACCCACTGGACCACCAGGGAGGTCCCTGTGTTTTTTTTTTTTTTTTTAAAGGTTAAAAAAAAAAAAAAAATGTAATAGCTAGAATCAGCCCACCCAGGGAAAGGCCTCTCTTGTCTCCCCCCAGCCCCTCCCTGGATTAAGAAGATGAGCTGGGAAGTTTCTGGACACCCAAGTCTTCATTGGGAGCACCCTGGGTGTGGTCTGAGGAGGTGGCCTCCAGAGGTGAAGGGTCCTGGCTAAGACTGCAGAACTGCCTTCCCCCCAACCCCCCGCCTGATGCCTGGAACTCTCTACTCTGCTGGGGAGTGTGGATTAATCTACCCCCGAGGAAGGCAGTTTTGGGCCATAGCCATCAAAATTCCAAATGCCCAACCCTGTGACTCAGCCAGGCCACTTGTAAGCATTCCTCCCTGATTGGCTTGCTCATGTGCGAAATGACCCGCCCTTACCGTAGCCCTGTTTGTAACAGCAGAATGCCATGCAAAGGGACTGCCTGACAATATCCCCATATAACAAATACCACCTTGAAAGGGATGCTGACTTCCACTTCCGAGTGTAAAACAACCTCAAAGATAAGTGTTAAATTAAACAGCGGGGCGGGGAGTTGTTCTCGATCTGAGCTCTACCGCCCCCTAGGGGAAATTTGGGGAATTTATGAGGCCATTTGTGATTGTCACAAGATCAGAGCCCCTGGCATTTGACAGAGGTCAGGGCAGGGATGCTCAATGTCCTATAAAGTGTAGGACAGTCTGACATTAACAGGGATTTATCCCCGTACACCTCGCAGCTTTCCTCTGTCTTTCTGGACAACCACATACAGTCGTCCCTCGGTATTCATGGCAAATCGGTTCCAGGAGCCCCTGCAGATACCAAAATCCGGGGATGCTCAAGTCCCTTACATAAAATGGCCTAGTACGGGGAATACAGTCGGCCCCTCTGT